TCCCTACACTCACCCACCATTCTTTATTATCATACACATATTCATGCATATAATAAAATTCCGACAACGACAAGCTTAGTAACTTCGACCTAGTTTGTGTTTCTTGTTTAACAAACCCCATATCTTTTTTTGTAATGTGAATATATATCTTTGAAGCCTTTCTACACTGCCATTTTTTTCTGTACCAAATCCGGAATGGCACAAGAATGAATACTAATGTAGTGCTAAAAGCGATACAAAATCGAATATCATGAGACGGAAAAAAATGAAATGAAATGGATTGATCGATTTAGTTATGAATTACGGGCTGAATATAGAGGTAATTAACGTTTTTTTTTAAAAAAAAATCTGTTCAAAAGAAAAAAAATGATATGAAAGTATTAATTTTAATTTTGTTTGCACATAAAGATTGTGACCCTTTCCATCAATCGCGTCGAGCATCATGCCCTTTTGCCACCTTTTTTTTTGTACTAATGTTCATGCTCTTCTTGAATCCACCCCAAAGTTTTAGTAACTTATTATATATGTATATATATATATATATCCCTTCAAGACATGGTACTTGTAGTGATGTATATATAAGAGCATATATAAGAGCATATGGAAACAAAAGGAAAGAAATATTGAAACGAACCTTTGTGCTATACATCTCAAGGCAAGACATGGTACTTGTAGTGATGTATATATATGTGTGTATATTTATCTCTGCGTTTGAGGAAAATAGTTAATAAATATGATGGAATGATGATGATGATGATGATAAGAAGAAGAATAGTGATATCTTCTGGTTGGATCGGAGGGTTTGATCTTTGGGGAGTGACAATAGAGAATTGGAACTAAGAAGAGAAAGAGAGGAAGCAAAGAGAGGAGAGACAAAGTTGGATATGGAGAGAAGTGAAGAATGGGAAATGAGAATAAATAGAAGTTTGGGAGATTATTTGGACGGTGGAGATTTTACACGGGACACCCACATGCCCTCAATATCTGTTTATTTTATTTATTTATTTATTTTAAATACATTAAATCAATGTTTTTTTTAAATTATTTGTTTTAAATGTTAATTATGCGAAAAAATATTAATTTTGATTTATAATATTTGTTTTTGTGTGGCTGAAAGAATCTTATTGGAGGTGGGGGCTGAGGAAGGGGAGAGGCTGGGGGAAGAACTTCTTTGAAAATTATCAGACTTAATCCAATATGCTCAATAATTGAAACATTATTCTCAACAAATTAAAATGGAAAATTCCAAGTGATTATTCACACACACATATATATATATATATATATTAATATATATAAGAAAAATAATGTTGTATTGGTTATTAAAATAAAAAAAATAGAAGGAACTAAAATCAGAAAGAGAAAAAATAAATATTCCGGTGTTATTTTAAAATGAAAATTTTTGTTTTCTTGACTAGAAAATGTATGTTTGATTTCACCAATCTAATATTATTAAAATGGAAATTCCATTTATTTTTTAAAATTTCTTGATTAATGTCACATGTGTTTTGTTTTTAACATTTAAAATCAGAAACACTACAGTGGAAGCATATCGGAATTTTTGGACTCTCTCTCTCTCTCTCTCTCTCTCTCTCTCTCTCTCTCTCTCTCTCTCTCTCTCGTGTTTGTTTCTACAGACAAGAGTGTTGGTGCACATACATGAACATGACCTTAAAATAGTTTCATGGATTTGTCCTTTTTTTTTTCCTAATTGTTTTAGTGATTTTTTTAAATATGCTAATTTTTGACATCGACCCTTCTCTTTTTTTTTAATTAAATTTCGAATTTCCGAATTATCCAATTAAATTACACTTCGTGTGGACCAGAAATTATAAGAAAAAAGAAAATACAGATCCATATGTAGACATATGGATATATGAGTACGTGTAATATTTACAACCAAGTATTTAACTACTTACTCATTAATATCGTTACATGAATATTAGTCTTATGAATATATTCTATGTTATCGAAATTATTGAAAAATTGCGTTAGAAAAACTCGAGTATTTGATTATATAACGACAAAATTTTCTAGATTGTAAAAAATATTAATTTTTTATAGTTATTTCGTCAATCATGTTTAAAACATACTACCTTGTTACAGATTAAATGAATAATCCTTATAAAACTATTAAATACAATTTATATAAATTAAGAGTTACTAAATGTAAAATTTATTGTCATAATCGTAAGATGATGATATAATATGTTAATTTTAATCAATTTTGAGACACAAAGTCAATACACTTTATTGGTACTCTAAACATATATGATTTTTAAAAAAATATCATCTCAATAATCATGTGATATTTTAAGTATCTAAAGCTTGGTTTTATTGATTAAAGATCTATAAAATTCGAATATTGATCCAAAAGTAAAAAAAATACAATAAAAATAGAAAATAGTTTTTTTTTTATTCCATCTCGCCGTGCATCCATAAATTCAGTTTTATTATATTTAGAAGACAAATAAGATATGGTCGAGAGTATGTTTCATTTATGTTTATGGTGTGGGAATATAATGGGTGAGAGCTGTTCAAATAAATAAATAAATAAATAAATAAATATATATATATAATAATAATAATTCTTAAAAACATATTGACGTCATTATTGACAGCACTTCCTCATTATATATTGCTAAACCAACACACTCGAATTTCCTTTTCTCAATTATAAATGTAATTATACACGACAAGATTCCACAACCAAAGGGAATATCGAATAAAATAATAATAATAGAATTTTAAATCCTTTAATAACCAATAAAATTCCGAGATTTTTGACAAAAATAAAATAAAATTCCGAGACATGTGCCAATTTAGATTCCCCCCAGAAAACCAATGAATCAGCAACATCGAATATTTCCTTTGTCGCTTATTCGTATAATTCTAATTTATTCCCTCCTTCGGATTCTGAATATAACTCAAAAATATCAACGCAATGCAAAATTAAATCTTCTCCGCTTTTTTCTAGTTACGGAAATTTAGGAATCCAATCCAATATATATATATATATATATATAATGATATTTTTTATAAGAATAATATTTAAGGGTACGCATGTTCCTCTTGCATGTGGTATCCACGTCTGTGACGATGTAACCAGATATCATTTTACGTGATGTTCTTACTGTCACTTCCGACAGAATTTGTTCTTTTTATTATTCTTTAATTTTTTCGATTTTATATTTTTTTTTCAAGACTTCAGCATTAGTTCTTTGTTATATAAATTGTATTTATTTGGCAGTGAGAAATCATAATTAAGTTTACATACTTAAATAAAACGGAAAGTAATTTATATATTCACACATGATTTTTCTAACCATAACTATGAAATTGGTAATTGGAGTAAAGGAAATACCCGTAACTATAAATCAACTTGTATTAGGGGGAAATCCCTAGGTGAGTTGGCAAGGAGCATGGTCAATATACCGAGAGGTTGGGGGTTCGACTCTTTGGCCGCTCACCTATCGTCTGTCAGTTACGGCTGATTTACCTTTCACGTGTGTATTGCAGGCCCGTGCGTGTGGGTTTGGGTTTACTCGGTCAGCGCGTCCGAAGGGTAGCAGCCGGGGTTCTCAATGTATAAAAAAAACTTGTTTTTTTTTTCGTAACTGAGTATCCTAGGCCGAGATCCACACTAATCTTGGGAACCGAGTGATTTAGAATTTTACGCTTTCCTCCCCAATTTAAGATTCGAACTCGAGATGAAAACGACGTTTTGCGTTTCATTTCACTGGTTGAGTTGTCCAAGTTGAGTTTATAAATCAACTTGTTGATTTGATATCTCACTTTATGATAAATAAAGAACAAATAATTTTACATATACACTATCCATCTATATCTATAAATAAAATTGTTCGTGTTTTTAACGTGAATAGACAATGGCCCTTCTAGAATATGTATGTATATATATATATATATATATTTGTATATATCGACGGTAGAATAAAATGTAGTTTCACTATGGAAAGTAATACTTTTGGACAACAAATTGTAAAGTCAAATATGCTCATTTTCATCACATTTAATTGACGCAACACTATATATATTTATATATAATATTTAAATGAGATTTTTCAATGTTTATGTTCGTTTTCGTTTGACCCCGAAATAGTATTAACCCTGGTCCATTTTTTTGGGGGTAAATTTCCCTTGTCCATGTTATATTGTCAAATAAAATATCTATTAAAAAAGTATAGATACACTCTT